CGGCCTCCACCTGGTAAAACCATACCCTGAGGTTGCGTGGATTGTAGTCTGGCAAACGTATGCTAATTGCATTCTCGACTAAATCCGCTGAATCAAAGTGTTTCCATAATTACCGGGCAAAATAAACAAAATCACGACGACTTTAAAGAAAAAGCTTTCAAAAAATATCTAGAAATACTCGGGTTCACCAAATTTGTAGTGGTCTGGCTACCCAATAAGTTAGTTTACCAGGAGTGTGTGGCAAAGAAATAAAAATGATTACGCTAGGTTGGGTATACAAAAATAAAGAGATCAGACGGAACAGACTCACTAACAATTGTTCTCCTCAAAATAGTTCGTCGTTGGCCCAGGTCAGCGAATAAACAATAATCCAATTATGTTGGTTCAGAGGTCTTCTCCTGAACAGTTCCCCCGTATAATAGATTCCGAAGATGTCTGAAATGTTTTGGTACCAGAGTTAGTACATGAGACCCGCGAATGACCGCTGCAAGCGCGAGCGAAATCAAAAGAAAGAGTCGAAGCACGTGACCACGCTTGTATTCTGTGAAATCGTACAAGTGCGTGTCTTTGTAGTTTTTCGTATTCAAACAAAAAACGATTATGCAATTGATGAAATACGTAGTGTTATAATGGAAGTAAAATAAAAGTACAAAACGCCACAGGAGGAAAGATGTCAGTTAGTACAACTGAACAATCTTAGGTTGCTTGGAATACTGTCTTTGGCGGCGTCGAAAAGTAATGGTGTCCGGAGCGGGATCTTCTGGATCCAAGCCGTTTCTTTGAACACACTTGAAGGATAGCTTATGATGATTCGGCGTCTAGCAACCGCTTTGAGAAGGAAGATGGGAGCGGTGTCATAATAACATGCTTCGGAGTATGTCGGTAAATGATTGATTTGGTGGAATACATTTGAGAGATTTCTAGAGTAGTAGGAGAATTATGGACCGTGTTAAGTGGGTCACATCCAGTCTTAGATACCAACGTGGGCTAGTAGTTCAGATATGATAGTGGAAGCACGGGACAGTGGCGGCACGTCGATGAAACGATTATGTAGATGAAGACTATACACGCTCTACGAACTGCGGTAACACTGATTAGGCCTACTGGAGAAGGGAGGACGGGTTAGCCTATGTGATCGCATCTAATTGAGGTCCACCGAGCAAAATAGCTCTGCAGTATAAAAAACTGGTTAAAGGTCTACGGATAGGATGGAATCCAAATTTTTTTACGACACCTGGTCTGGAAATTTTGGCTTCCAGGGCGATTAAGACGTCACGATGAGCGCGCCGCGTCCGCCGTGCACACTCTGATGGTTCGCCCATGGTGCACCGGTCCTCTACACCGAATCGCACTGTTCTTCATGAGTGATACTTTTTGAGCTCCAGCGCGTCGAATTAGGCAGACTTGAAGTCGTCCAACAGAGCGCTTGGACTCAACATGTCGTTGCGCCCAACAGATGCCGCGCAGGCCAACTACCATCCCACCAGTATTTGGTCATCACCAACGAAGGACACTTCGTTGATCAGCTAAAAAATAAAGCTCCACTGGGGCATAGCGACCACTGTGTACTGACCTCTGATTTCATCTGCTATCGGACCGGAAACCCCGAACCTCAAACGTTATTTCGAGACTTCTGCCGTGCGGACATCTCAGTATTGCGCATCTTTCTTGAACAAGTCACAGTGAGACCAGCTCGAGTGGAAGAAATGTAAAGCAACATCGTCCAGGAAGTTCACAAGGCTGAAGTGACGTTCGTCCCAGAAGAACCGGCATGCACTCGGATGAACCACAGGATGCCAAAAAGCATTCGGTGACTTCTGGAAAAAGGATCCCAACTCATTTTCAAAACGTTGACTACAGGGGGTACAGAAGATGAGCTGGCATTTCGTAAAATGCGGAATCGCTGTAAGTCGGAAATCCGCCAATGGAACATACGAAAACAAGC